TTCAAGGCTTCCCTCAGGGACCTAGGGAGGCTCTGCCACCTCCCAGTAGCATCATGGGCTGGGAACCAAGCCTTCCATGAACAGGCCTTCATGGGACATCCCAGGTCCAGCCTGTAGCAAACTCCAAGAGCAAATTCTGGGACGCTGTAAAGAATAAAATGAAAGTCCTGAGTAGCTACTCATAAAGTATCTGAATTTGTGCCATGTAAATCATTGAAGAAATTAAAGGAGAAGGAATGGCTGTTGAGGGTTAGAATGCCAGTTAATAAATATAGGAATGCTAGGCATAGAAAGACCACCTTAATGATTGTGACAAATGCCACAGCAACAGTTTTTAAAAGCAAGATCCACCTGTGCCTGATAAAATCAATGAGTGGCACAATGAAGAGAAACAGGGTTTTCGTGGTTTCAGAATATCTCTTACAAAACAGTACCCTTATAATGGAGAAACCCAGGCAAATGCTACATCAAGCAGGTACTCCAGGTTAACCAACCTGTGATGATGGGACGTCAACAGAGGTCCCTCCTGATGGTGCACTGAAAGGGGACATCGTCATTTCGGTGGGGCTTTGTACTCCCATTGAGATATATATATATTTTTTTTAAACTGAATTTCACATGCAATTTTGAGATAAACAGAGTTCCTGTGTACCCTTTACCAAATGCCCAAATGCTCCCCTTGGCAACTATGTTGCAAAGCAGTGGTGCAGCATGCCAACCAAGGATTGTAATTGGGATAGTTAGGACGCGGCATTCCCTCACCACAGGGGCCCTCTAGGGACAGCCACACCTCTTTTTTTTTTTTGTTAAACTTTGTTTCACTTTCATATTGCTGAGCTGTAAGAGTCTTCATTTATTCTGGAGCATATGAGGTTTTCTCTACAGTCTGTTAATACAATAAATCAAGCCAATTTTTAAAGAAGTTTTTAAATTGTGGCAAAAATTGACATACTGTTTACCATCCTAACTATTTGCAAGTGTAATCCTGTGGCCTCAAGTCTGTCGTACAGCTGTCACAACCATCTACTTCCTCAACTTATCTTGCAAAATTCAAACTTCTGAGGTTAAACAATTTCCCATTTTCTTTTATGCCTCAGGCCTGGAATATACCATTCTACTTTCTGTCTATATGGATTTGGTTACTCCTGGCACCTCAGATAAGTGGAGTCACACAGTGTTCATCTTGCTGTGACTGGCTTATTTCACTCAGCTCAGTAGCCTCAGGATTCATGCATGTTGTTGGATGTGTCGGAATAGCTGTCCTTTTAAGACTGAAATTCATAGGAAGGGTTTATCTGGTCATCTGCTGACAGACATTTGGGTTGCTTTGGGCTGTTGTAAATAATTCTGCTAGAACATGAGCATATAAATACCTCTTTTAGACCCTGGATACATACCCAGAAGTGGAATTTGTGGTCTTATAGTGTCTAGACCCTTATTTTAACCTCACTCCTCTACTTTTTTTTCAGTCTCCAATGTGGTATTGTTGTCTTTTACAGCTTTAGGTTTCAAAAGTTCTCATCCATATTTAAGTAGCACAGTCATCTCTGTCATTCAGAGCGCATCATGACTACTGAGTGTCCTGGCCAGCTGACCACAACCCCTTTGTTTCAGTCTTGCTACACTTGGCTCATTTTATTCTTCGTAAGTGCGGGAGGTATATATAAACCTTCTAGGCCATGTGCACAGGGACCTGGCTCTTTCCATCAGGCTTCACCTCCCAACAGCACACTCAGGAAAACCCATCCATGGACTTACTTGGCACCACACAAAAGCCCCACCTGTGAGTGCATAAGATAGCATTGGGGGACATCTATAGTAAAGCCCTAACAGCATTGTGTAGTAGAAAGGTGGATACTGAACTTCACTTATGTGGGCCCTATACTATTCTTTTATCCCTTCTGACACAAGCTCCACATAAACACATGTAGTGGGCACGCTCTGCACAGAGATGGAGCCAAGAGTGTAGGCATGTCCCCCTGCACCCTGCGTGTCTCCATGGGCTCAGACTGCTGTAGTACAGAGCCAGGATTGATGGCCTAACCAGAGAGCATTTCTCACCGCGTGGAAGCTGACAAGTTCACAGTCAAGGAGCTGGCAGAGTCGGTGGCCAGCGAAGGTGCTCGGTGTGAATCCTTGCTGTGACCTGCACCACTCTCAGTGGTCCTGGGGAGAAATGGCGAGTGAGGGGTGCAGAAATACAGACAAGAGAGGAGCACTGAGGTCAGGTGCAGCCTTTCTCCTCACGAGAGAAGAGGAACTGCACAGCCAGTGCAGGAGCATTTATACTTCTGACAAAGTTAGTATCACGAGATGCAGGGTTGCCTAGTGACTGGAATTGGCTCAGACAAGGTAGCGTGATTGCTTTAGGCACTTTGGCCTTGTCTTGCCTCCACACGTGACCAATTTCTGGCTTCTGCCACTACCCACAAATCCTCACTTGAAGAGAGGGGGCTGTGCCCTTCCTCTTCTGCTAAAGGCACCAGGCCGGTTGCAGGAGCTCCCGCCGCCTGACCCATCTAAACCTAATTACTGCTCAGAACCTCACCTCCAAACCCATCGCGCTGGGCCGTCAACATGCAGACTGGTGGTGACCCAGTATTCATCCCATAGCAGCACACTCCAGGAATAAAAAGTGCTTTGTAGATAGGGGGCCAGTGAAAGGAGGAGGCAGAGCCAGGAGGAAAGAAAATGGGGAGCTGCACAAAAGAGGAAGCAGGGAAGGGGAATGGGGGGGGAGTCCCAAGGTCAGGTGCTCTTCTCCTCTCTGTCTCTGGACCCAAGCTCTGCTCCCTCCACGACTGCCTGTAGTTCTAGAAGGTCAGGATTATCTGCCAGGGCCCTCCTCTGGCTGTGACAGAAAACAGCCATGATTGGAGAACTTAGTATGCGTTCTGCAGCACTTACTTCTTGGAGGCCTGCGCTCCACAACCCCCTAAGTTCAGTGACCTCTGGCCAAGAATAGAAAAGACCAGATTTCATTCCTGTCATTTTGTTCACCACTCTGTGGACAGGAAAGGGTCATTCCCCAAGTTTCTGCTCCACGCTGTGCCCAGACACCTGCCTCTAACCCTGAGGCTGAGGAACTGCAGGGAGGCACCAGGGCCCACCTCTCGACCCCGTGGAGAGGCAGGGTGCTGCCGTGGGCCTGGAGCTCTGCCCTGCCTCCCACTCTGCCTGGCGGCGGCGGCGGCAAGCCCGTCCTCACTGCAGAGCAGCTAGAGCACCTGGTCTACCCTAAACGCAGCTCCTAGGCAGGTGTGAGTGGGCTCCTCTAGCATTTTTACCGCACGGTAGGATTTACATGACATTTGTCCAGGTTTGAGAGCATACCTGGGAACCTGAAGACGTCACACTTTTTGGTTTTTAAATGTATCTTTCCTGTGTGGTACTCCAGGATGATGCTAAAAATATTTTTAGAGTAACTTAATAACAAAGAAATTGTGACATCTGAGGTTTGTCTTTCTGGTTTGGGTTCAGGAATCAAGAAACAAAAAATGCAAGTAGGCTGGCTTTTCATAGATTATGGTGGCTGATTTATGGCATAGAGCACCACTCTCATCCTGGATCTGAAATCACTCTTCTTCCATGAAGAAATTAACAGTTAAAATACAAAAACACCTAAGACAGTTTCATTACAGATGTGGGTCACGTGATTTTCAGTCTGCCCAAGAACTCCAAGAGGGGCAAGTGACATGATGAGTGATTTGCTAACAAGACAGGAGGACACCATAAATCAGTGACTCTTGACCAGAAGGCACTTGTCCTTCGGGGGGTCAGCGACTGTGCTGGACGCGGTTTTGATTCTCATCTTGGGGAGGAGCTTCTGCTGGCTTCCGTGGGGAGGAGAAGCCAGGTGGCCGCTCAGTATCCTGCAGGGCACAGGACAGCCCTCCCCCACAGCACCTCTGTCTGAGCCCAGATGCCAGCAGTGCTAAGGTTGAAAAGCTCCTCACCCACAAGATGCAGCTGGGGCTGACTGGTAATAGTTCATCTAAATTAGCTCCAAGACAAGCCCATAGGACCTCAGGATTTGGGGAGGTGTTTTTCTCTTTACTTTATTTTAAAGTCATCTCAAAGTTACAGACTGGGTAATTCTCATCTTGGCCCTTGGCGTAAGGGAGGCTTTATGCTGTGTGAAATGAAGTAGAGAAGATGGGGACAGACGCGCGCACTCAGGTCTCGGCCCTTTGAACTGTGCATCGGTTGAGGCGGAGGGCACCGCTGCCTGGCTTCCCACCAGCACTCCACGGTGTGTGCCCAGCCTGGAGTGGGGAGCATCACCCCACCTCGCCCTGCAGTCTCGGGTGACTGGGCCAGCCCAGAGGCTGCTGCCTATGAAATACGGGATCTGATGAGAACATAGGACCCTAGGACCTGGGCGGGCTCGGTGGAGACCTGGGAGCTCAGCAAGGACCTGGGTTTGATTCCCAGCACTACCACTGCAACCCAGAAGCCTAGAAGGTGAACGTCCTCCATGATTCTGGTGATAAATCGGCAAATAGTCTTCCAGTTTTTAAAGGTGTATCTTAACTTTTCATTAAAAATAAAAATGAAATAATTTTATAGCATATTACCATTTTATAACTGTTTACCATACTATCCCGTGGCTGTTCCTTGTTCCCCTATGACAGTGAATCATTAAAATCGGGACAGTGGATGTTAAAATAGGGACTGTAGTATCCACCTCGTCCCCATCAGAGGCATTAGGACAACTCCTAGATTAAAATCTGGGAAGTACATTGAGTTTCTTCGAGGAATGGTATTAGTGTAATAGTAGTATTAGTATAGTACTATAATACCATATATATTGTTAGTATGACATTATAATATAGTACTATGTTAGTGCAATAGTATCATACTCTGTGCCTTCCGAATGGATTTTAACGGTGTTGAATGACAATCACTGTTTAAACATTGAGTCATCAGAAGGCGGTGATTACAGGTTTGGCAACACTGTGTGGTACTCACGCTTCACCTGCGTCTCTTGCGTCCCACAGGCAAATACGTGTATCAGCCCATGACCCCGGTGGAGCAGCTCCCCAGCACAGAGATCCCCGCGAGGCCGCGGGAGCCCCCCCACACCATCCGGATCTCAGTGTCGCTCACCGAGCACTTCCTGAAATTCGCCTCCGTCTTCCAGCCTCCCCTACCCCCCGCCTCCCCTAGGTACTGCACGATTTCAGACCTCTTCCTCGACAACTATCAGGTGAAGTGCATCAACGGGAAGATGTGCTACGTGCAGAAGCAGCCGCCCCCGCACTCCCGCAGGACGAGCCCCGAGGGGGGCTCTGCGCACGACGCCTTCATTCCTCAAGCGAGCAATACGCCAAAAAGAGGCCACTGCTCCTCTCCCTCCAGTTCCGAGGACTCCGGGATCAATGCGATTGGGGCCCACTACGTGGAGTCATGTGACGAGGACACGGAGGGGGGAGCAGAACTGAGCTCGGAGGAAGATTACAGTCCAGAGAGCAGCTGGGAGCCCGACGAGTGCACCCTCCTGTCGCCCTCGCAGTCTGACCTGGAAGTGATTGAAACCATAGAAACCACAGTGTGAGCCCGCCCCCCCAGCCTTGCACTTTTGTCTGACGATCCTTTTCCAATGCTGTTGATCTTTTTCTACCCCTCTGCCAACCATAGCAGTTCGGTGGTCTGGTGAGCATCACCCTTAAATTAGTCTTGTAACTGAGACCTTTTTACTACCAACGGTTTTCTTTTGTATCTTGACTTACTTTCTATGTAGCATCTGGTGTCACGTATTTTGACCCAGCCTTAATTTCACTGGGAACTTTTGAAAGCAGCGAAGTGATGATCACATATCATGGATCAGATGGGGGAGCTACCTAGGGCGAGGCGACCCTACTTCCCTGATAGCCTGTCCTTGGCCGAAGGACTCGGCATCATCTATGTATGCGGGCGGGCAGCACCTCGGTCCTGCCGGCCCCCAGGACGCCGCTCACTGGGGAAACCTGCTGTGTGTGGGCAGTGCTGTTCCTTCCCTTCCTTCTCCTTCCGTCCTGTGCGGGTCGGGACCAGAGCTGCCCCACTCCTGGGAGCTTCGTGGGACAGCGTGGCTCCTGGTGATGGCCGGTGTCTGCCTCAGCCACCACGCCCGAGCGGAGCTAGGCCGGTGGGAGCAGAGAGAGGACTCTCCGGGCATGTCCACGCGCAGGGGCTGCGGGGAGACCCGGTGCCAAAGCTAGCGGCACCCACAGGCTCTGGGAACCCAGGAGACGGGGAGATAGACTTGGCTGGCATTTGAATTGACCTCTTGGTGGGTCCCTCGTTTTCCCTGTTTTTAATTGTTCTTCAAATCTGAGAAAAACATTTAGGAAGTTCTGTAGGTATTGTATTTAGGAGGCAGCCACATATGACATCTTAAAAAATAGTTTTAGTTAGCATGGAAATGCTAAAAGACAGAAGTCCTATAGGAATTAGGAATGAATCTAATAGGTTTGATTAATTCTGCTTCATTTGGTTGTATGAAGCATTAGAATGGCTTTAGGTGAGAAATGGATTAGAATTCAATATGATGCATGGATTTTTTATGCAAATGCAAAAGCAGTTGAAATAGTTCACTGCTAAGTCAGGAGCAAATATTTTGTGTAATATTCACTTCACTGATATTCATGATTCATTGTATATGTTCTCTTTCACATGCACAAAATCATGAATAATCTTTTAGTTAGCTCTTTTCAGAAATTCACTCCTACTCTCCATTTGTGCCATGTCAATTGGTTATCTGCCATTTCTCCAAATCTTCTATACACGAAGCAGAGTTAAGAATCTTAAATATGGTGTGATGAAATGAGAACCACTGAATTGGAGGGAAACACTCCCTATATCCTAGCTACGTGCAAGCCTGCTCCTTGGCATAGCCTGCGCTCTGTCAGCATTATGACGTCTCCTCTGAGTTTGTGGCTGAGGAAAGAGGCTCGTGGCTTTCTTCCCTGAAGCCTTCAGGATTAGGTTTAGGTCCCCAAAACATCCACAGAGATTTGAAAGCACAGTATGGGTTTTCCTTTGAAAACAGTGTTAGTCAAAACTTTCTGTGCTTGATGAGAAAGCAGCTTCAGGTTCCCATTGACTGAAATTTAAAGATGCAACAAGTCAAACCAAGGAGGCGCTCCAGAACAGTGAGGCAGAGAGGGTAGATGCATGTGGGCAGGAAACTGACAGCTTGTCCTTGCCCCCCTGGTCCTGGTGGCCTGGGGATGTCTGACGAGTGTTGGTGGAGGTTTTTGGTGCCTCCCTTGAGAAAGGAGCCAGAGGAAGGCAGGGAGGGAAGCCTGATGCTGCCAGCCATACATCTGTCTTACGTGCTCCAGCGTGCTCACTGGGCAAGCCCTTTGAGTCCCCTGGGGACTGGGCAGGGCGCAGTGGGTGACTTCTCTACGCCATTGCCACTGGTACTCTGTTATGGGCCCACAGCCACACCGGTTAGACTAATCAGAGCCAACAGGGAGGTCTCTGAGCTGTGGGACCCATGCTCACGGCACCACGGCTATGAAGCTTCGCGTGCAGCAGGGCTGGGCCCTTTCCCAGTAATATTGGTGACTTTTGTCTAAGTTCCTGTTTTTTAACCTCTTGAACTGCCACTCAGATTAGCCACAGTTTTAATGGAATTTTTCGATTTAATAATGGTTGATAACCACTTTAAATATTTGCACAATCTCTTTATAATTAACTCACTAAGCTTCACTTAATATTTTATAGAATTGGAGACATTCCATTGGGTTCTAAATATTAGATACTCCTGGATATCAAAACAGCCTTTTCTAAATAAGCACAAGAATTCTTTTTGCCCTAACACCGTTAATACTAATAATTCTCTGAAATATGATTGAACTGGACTTGTTTATGCTTGCTTTCTGAAATCAACTAAGGATATAAAAATATGTACTTTAAACCTAAATGCTAGGCCTATTCTCTTCCATATTGTATGAAAAAATCTCTATAATCCTGATATTATATTGCTACTTTACATAAGCATATTTATAGACACCTTAGAAATACTTAGAGTACAGTGTATACTATAGACATTAAGCACAGTCATGTTAAATAGGCTTTGGATTAATAGCTGTCCAGTGAGACATGATCGCTTGGGCCTGGATCGCCCACAAGGAGCACACAGCAGGCCTTGTGGATGGTGACCTGCCCTCTCGGGCTCGCGTGGACCCCAGCACGGGTGCCTTTTAGGAAGCTGGCAGAAAGGCATTAGATAGAAACGGACTTCTTCCCAACAGGGAACTTAGCTTTCTTATCTAACCAGAATCTTAGAATTTAAATTTCAAAACTGCTTTTGTGATTTTAACCATTTGGTACCATAAGGCTTTAGTATCAAATCTAGGTATTTTTACATTATAATTTTTAAGGTATCAAAGAGGAATTTGAGACAATATTTAAAAATTGACTTGCATTTCAAAGTAATACAAGACAAAACAAGCCCAGAACAAAACCACATAGTTGTTTCCTGATATATTTTGGATCTCAATTAAGGTCTGTATCTTGGGAATGGTAGCTGCGTTTCTTAATCTCTTCTTCCTGGTCTATTTGAAACCTGACAGTTCTTTTCAGACTGATCATAACACTTTTTATACAAATTTAAGTCTATTTGGAGACAAGGATGCAACCCAATACTTTACAAAGCTGTCAAAATAAGGAAAAAAGGCACAAGTTGAATGAAGTAGTACTTTTTCTTTTTTGTTCCGAATGCCTTCAGGGCAGGTTTGGCTGGCTGGAGTTGTGGGGACCGAACCCCAGCAACCTGAGCCTGACTGCTTTGTTGAAGCAGCCACTTAAAGAACTGAGCTATGGGGCCAGCCCCCTGAAGTAATATTTATACAGTTAAAATTTGATCATTCCCAATATATCCTGATTGCAAAATTTTCCTATCACTTTTGTTCCCCTTGCCCGGTGGAGGTGTGAACAGGAAGTGGAAGCGGGAGGAGACCGCGTGGCTCTAGGCTGGGAGAGCACGCTGCGCTTCCTGCACTGTGATCAGAGATGTCAGCTTGCCTCAGGTCCAAACACTGCAAGGGCACTTGTTAAAATTCCCCATTTGAAAATGCTGCCACCGTCCCTTGTGGTGACTGTGGTAATGGCATGGTGTTTCAGCCCACACTGGAGCCATCTGCCATCGATGGAGGTGTTGAGGTAAGCAGGCCCCTTTCCTGCGGCTGCAGCCCGCTGGAAGCTTGAGCGCGGAGCTTGGTGTTCAGACCCTGTGTGAGGCTGTTCATACCTTGCAGTACTCACTTCTGTGCTATTTTTTAAAAACTGTGTTATAAGTTTTAAGCACAATGTTGACTCTTCTGTAATTTCCTAAAATTCTGTTTTCCGGAGACAGTTCAACTTTCTTTTCACGTGTAATACTAAAATACTGCCGTGTAAAATAAATGTAATTTTCTTTTATATCAGAACAGATCTGCTTTGGAGATTGAAACCCCCATCAGGAGATTTGCGTCAGATTTAAACAACTTGGTATAAGCTAAAAAACAAAAACCCATGACAGGCACTCACTGTGTGCTAAGAAACAAGCATCTGTGTTCATTGTCCCACATGAACTCACGAAGTGCAGGCAGATGTAATCCATGAGTGGGCACGGCTGCCTTTCACAAACCCCACAACCCTAGTAACTGCTGGCTGCATTAGGTTTGCACTGAATAAGCAGACTCCCCCACAAGCTGCATGTATCTCACACAAGCCATCGCAGCCGTAGCCCCGCAAGCCGTGGAGTTCTCGGGGGTCACTTGGGTCATCAAGGCGCAGTGTGCAGCCTCGCCATGGGATGGTGGGGTCCAGATGCTTTTGTTGAGCACACCCAGACAGGAACGGAGCCTGGGCCCAGCTGCTGTGACCAGCCCCGAGACTGGTAGATAGTGATTAGTAGCAATGTCCCCATTCATGCCATCAGTGCTTAGGGCCCCACAGTAGCCTCTGCTTCCTGCGCTAGGCTGCCTGGGGCAGGGCTTGTCATTTGAGTTAGATTTGCACCCAGAACTGAGTTGAGGTGCCCCCCGTGCTGTGTCCTTTGCCTACGTTACTATGTTGTCCCCAAGCCAGCAAACACCTTGCCACAGCCTGGTGACTCCTTTCTCAACGCCCCTTTTCTAGGCACCGCACACCTTCCTCGCACGTGCTCGCACGTGCTCACACGCGCTTACTGGCGCACAGCGGTGTCTGCAGAGCCCTGTCTGGACCAGGCTGCCGCTCCTGTGTTACTCGCACCTCCACTATCTCTAGGCCTGCTCTCTCTGCCTCACGGAGATAACTTGTCTTCTGAAGTGACTCCTGCTGGCAGCTAATCCCATCTACCACATGCATTCTACTAATTTAATTCCACTTAATTGTATTGCGATGTCTGGAAGGCATCTTACTGTAGCCGCTTGCAAATGCTGACTACACACCCTTTAATTTTGTGATGGACTCTACTTTGGCTTCTCAGACTCATTACAGCTCCATCATCAGGAACGCCCTTAACCCTTGCTGTCGCCCCCAGCCAGTGCTCAGCGGAGGGACCAAGGGGACTCAGTCTTGCTGCAACAGGACATGAGGCGAGGCAGTTAGAGGTCAGGTGCAGTTTTTCTGAGCCAGAGAGATAAAAGAAGTTTTTGGTTTTTCCTTTTTTTTTTTTTTTCTGGAACTGGGGATTGAACTCAGGCCCTTGTGCAAGCGCCTTATTCTACTGAGCCATCTCTCCCGCCCCTGATAAAAGTAAAAAGGCTAAGTAAATATGCCATGACATTGTTTGATTTTTGAGCTTTCTAAAATGTATACATACTACTTTTATAACCTCCTTGACCTTGGGTGCGGGAGGAAGCCGGTTTCTGGAGTCTGGGTGCAAGTGGAGTGAGCAGGCCAGTGTGTCCTGGCCAGAGCCAGCTGCCGCCAAGGACTGGTCCCCGCCCAGTGCCCCGAACACGGCTGGGACTTTGGGGGCCAGGGAGGTCTTCCTGGCTGCCTCAGCCCTCAGCTTGAGACTCCCTGTGAATCCGGAGATGGGAGATGAGACAGGGCCTTCTGGGGGACATCTAAGCCCTGTGTGACCCCTAGCCTGTCACCTGGCATAAAGCTCCAAATGATTCCTCCAGGATAGAGATCTGGAGCTTCCCTGCAAGACGACAACAGCATCATAAACACATGAAAGATGGCAGCCTGTGGTCAGGAGCATTTACAAAGCATATCTCCAGGGGCAGCTTCTAGGTCATAGCCAGTGACTGCGTGGGAGCAGGCACAGTAGCACTGAGTCACATCAGCCTGCTGACACCCAGCGCCCCACCCCCGCAGTCAGATCTGCTGCTGCTGCCCTCACCTGTCTATGCAACACAAGGTGAGGCTGACACCTCCCACGCCTAGCTATGGGGGGACAGTGAGGGCCCCCAGTTCAGCTCAGCCCCCAGTGCTGCCAGCTAGTGCTGGCCCCAGATTGGAAAGCTTTGTGGGATCTGGGCTCAGACCTGAGTGCTCACAGTCAGCTCCCATCTTACCTTCTGCCCTGCTGGGGCCCTTGACACCAGCTGCTCCTCTGTCACCCACCATCAGTCCCCACTGAGGCCAGGCTGCTCCGGAGGGTGGGGCCCAATTGCCCTGCAGAGGGCATTCACAGGCTCTGTGAAGTAGATGGAGGGCTGAGCTGCTACCCTCTCACTTAGCAGTGTGTCAACAGTGATCGACATTCAGAAAGCCACTGTAGCCACATCCGATTGTCTGCAGGATCAGAGCTCCCAGCGGGGTCAGTTCTACCCCACAAGGACTTGGTTTCTTCCTGTAACCCCTCAGAGGCCACGAATCCCTGGAGCTGCCCTGCATTCCCTGATCGCCTGTCTGGGCCCTCCGTTTGGTCTGCCCTAAGCCAGCCACTCAGAGGACCCGCATGCTGACGAGATAAGCAGGTGCACCACGTCCAGGTGGAGGTGATGGCGGTTTGCGGGTATTGAAGGTGAAGGCCAATTCAAGCTTCTAGAGGTCAGAAGGGGTGAACTATGAGGTCCCCCTGGTTGCTGCGGGTGGGATGTGGTTTCCCAAGATTATTAAAATCAAATCCTGATCTTTCAGATGTACACCTAGCAGAATTCTGAGAACAGGTATCAGGAATGGGGCTGAGGCTGCTGGCTTCTGTGTTAGGGGAGCCTCAGTGGGTTCTTTGGGAGCTTTTGCATGGCATTTCCCCAGCCCACCAGCAGCTTAGCAGCCAGGCCCTGGCACCTACTACACCTGGCTGGGGTAGGGACGGGGGAGATGCTGCTGGAGCCTCACATGTGCAGCCTTGCTCAGGAAAGAGTAGTAGGAAGTCATGTGCAAACCACTTCCATCTCGCTCATACCACTGAAGATATGAACATCCGTGCATTTGAGCAAAAATGTACTAGGTGCTGGGCATGGTGGCACACTCCTGTAGGTCCTGTGCGCTGAGAAGCTGAGCCAGGAAGACCAGAAGTTGGCACCTACCCTGAGCAACTTGGCAAGACTCTTTCTCACAGAAGGGGTATCTGGGGAGTAGCTCAGTGTGAAGGCTCTGGGTTCAGCCCCCAATACCCCCATTCCCCAAAAGGTACAATGTATACCTGCCCTTGACCCTGCAAAATCATTCTCAGTGTTATAGCTCACAGAAACACATGCAAATGGTCAGCAACAACAACCAGCAAGAAGGGCAAATGGTAGCGCCCGCCCTGGAGTAATCCCAGTGCCCACTGCAGTGGAAGAGTTACAGTGTCGTCATGCAACCAAATGCTGTTCCACAGTGGGAATGCATAGCAGGGCACACAGCGTGATGTTGGGTGGAGACACTTTTTTTTTTTCAGTGGAACTGGGGATTGAACTCGGGCCCTTGCGCTTGCCAAGCAACAGGGGTGGAGACATTTTGAAGAGTATGTGGTATATTATTCCATTGATAAGACATTTAGAACATGCAAAATTCTGCCTGCTGTTAGAGGACTGCAGGATATTGTTGAACCTGGAGGGATGAATGGAGAATTTGGGGGATGTCTGAGTGCAGGTCATTTCTATGTGCCTGTCCTGGGGACTGGTCATACACGTGTTTGCACTGTGAACGAGCCAGCTGGCCCTGTGGTTTTCCAATAATGCTGGCCACAAAAAGTTACTTGGAAAAGACAGTGACTTTAAGGATGCAGGCCCTTGCTCTTTTTCAAGTAGACCCCACATCTTGGCATTCAGTGAGTATAGGCTGCTGGGGGCACAGGAGTGAACCAAACCACCTGCCCTCTGGCCGACACATGCCCTCAGCACAGCTGCAGGGGGCACCCTTGGGCAAGTGGATGAGGCAAGAGGCAAGCTGCCCCCCACCTGGGGCTGGCTTCCTGGAGGTAGGGAAGGAGCAGGGACCGAGTAGTGGCCCTGGATGCCCAGGAAGGAGGGACTGCTGGCGTGAAGATGTTTGCAGCACCTCTGAGCCAGGGCTGCCCGAGGTGCAAGGCAGGAGGGGGTGGGGCTCAGCAGGTCAGACTCCTGTGACCCTGCTGTCTGAGGGTGACACTGAGGGAGGCCATTCCTGCTGTCCCAGCCCAGGCGCATGATTCTGCAGCTGTACCTTTGGGAAAACATTTTAAGCAGCAAAGCTGAGTGGAAAGATAGTGCTTCTAAAAGGATGCCCATAGCTCTGAATTATTTATTTGCTAAGCATTCATCATTGACGAGGCCCCGGTTGATTTTCCTCTTCCACAGACTTCTTCCCACCCGTCACTAGGGCAGGCTCTGGGTGGTCACAGGTGACCTTTGCATGGCATTTCCCCACACTGTGCTCTGCTCTGGATGGAGCTATGCAGAGGGACCAGCATGGGGTTGTCAGCAGGAAGCAGCTCATGCAGGGGTTTTGGTGGGGGCCCCAACTCCGCTCCCTACAATGCTAGCTGAAGGAGGAGGGATTTGCTCCACCCCCTTCTATAAGAACACCACTGTCCTGGGACAAGACAGAGCAAAGTTGGTGGTGTGGCTTCTGAGGTCCTGAGGCATTGTGTGCAGGTGCTCCCCAGGGATGGGCTCCACTCGGCCTGCTGCCCGCCTCCTGTCACACCCTCAGCTGGGACAAACCTGACCTCTTTTACTAGCTTTTCTGCTGCCGCCCAGGCCCTCCCTCCCCTTTACTGCCATATCCTATCTCTGTCCATCCCATGTGTCTTGGCCTTGCTTCCGGGGCTCCACGCTTCTTGCTTGAGCCCAGTGTTCCTGTCTTCTCCATGGCCTGGGCCCCAGGACAGGGCCGCCCCTGGTGGGACAGGTGTGGGTGGCAGAGCTAGCACCTGCAGAGCCCTGAGCTTCCCTGGACTGTGGAATTCACTGACCCAGCAGTGAAGCCACTGCTCCCTTGCTGCGAGGATCTGCTCCGATTTCTGAGCAGTCTGCAGTGGTGACTAACGGAGCTCTGCAGAAACAAGGTGGCAGGGTCAAAACGACAAAGGTGAAGCACCACACAGGCCTCGCCCTTCCCTGCACTCCTTCATGCAGCCTTCGTGCCCTGGCACGTCTGTGGTTATTCCTCACTGAGGAGAGGCTGCATCTGACCTGAGCACTGCTGCTTCCTGGCAGGACCCAGAGGGGACCACCAGTCGCCTGCCAACGACCCCTCCCCTTGCTGGACAGCTCTGCACCTTGAATAATGACTGGGGCCAGCACTTTTTCAGGATGTCACACTGATCCAGGGGCTGGGAAAGGCCTTCAGTGACCAAGGGAGTGTCCTCTCAGCACGGCCACAGCCAGCACCCGCCTTGCCTGCCAGCCCTTCTGGGGGCCTCCGGCTTCCCCCAGGTGTGTTACAGACTGCAGCCCGCCCCCTCCAGGTGTGCTCTGTGGCTCCTCTCACCTGCTGCCAGCATCATCCCAGGCACCCCGGTTTCTTTCTGGCTCCACCTCTGCAGGGTAGTGGGAGGGAGCCTTGTCCTTACTAGATGTGGTCAACCTGCAGGAGCAGACACTGTGCCGGTCAGGACTTCACTGTGTCTGTCCCCAGGCAAAACTTGAGTCAGATACTCCTAAACTCTGCCCACAACTCACCAGTTGTGAGGCCTTGCGCCCAGTGCTCCAGCAGGATGAACAGGATGGGACAATAGCAGCTATCCCCAGGCTGCGAGGGAGAAAGGAACAGGGGCCTGCAGATGAGGCTGCTCAGGAACAGGATGGTAAGGCCAGGCCAGGCGCATCCTTTTCCGCAGAAGTCGGCAGGCGGGCAGGACCAAAGACAGCAGGGATTCTTAGCTCAGAGCAGCTTCCGCCCTTGCCCCAGTATGGCGCGGCCATCCCACTGGTGCCACACAGCTCTCCTGCACACCTACAACCCAGAACCAGGTGCTGAGGAAGCCTGGGCCAGCTGCAGTCCCTGCTAGAGCCCCTTGGACCGCGAGCCCCAAGACACTCAGGAAGCTCTGAGAGTCCCGAGCCCGAAAGGAACCCGTGTGACACCCCTCTGGCTGGAGCAACTTTTTAAGGCATCGGTAGCTTGGTCCCTGGTCACTATGAGGACAGACACCACAGCGTGGAGAAAGGCAACCTGGCGCCAGACTGCATGCTGTGCTTTTCAATAACTCCCTGAGTTAAAGATGAGCAGATACTTATAAACGTGGGCCTCAGCGCCTTGTCCCGCTTTAACAAGGCATCTTGACAGGGTACCTTATGGAGAAGAGACACTTGGTTTCTCAGTTCTGGAGGCTGGGGAGTCAGAGGTCGAGTTGCTAGCAGGTGTGGGGGCCACTGGGGGCTGCTCTTTGCTTGCGAGGTGGTGCTTCACCTGCACCCTGGAGAGGGGGACCGCTGGCCTAGGGCAGAGCCTCTTTCATACAGGTCTCGCTTCCACTTGCTGCCACTCATGAGGCGGGGCCCACGTGGCCTAGTCACCTTTTAAAAGTGTCACCTCTTCACACCATCACATTGGGCACTGTTTGAGCACCTGTGTCTTAGAGGGGCCACCTCAAACCACAGCAACACAGACCACGGGGCCACTTTACACTGCCTGCAGAAAAGTGATGCGCCTCTGAAGAGGGGTTGTGAGAAGTATTAGGGTCTGATTTTGTTCTGCCTGGCAGCACAGGGGATCCAGCTGAGGGCTTTGAGCACACTAGGCATGCGCTCCACCACTGAGCCACACCTGCGGCCCTAGTTTTAATATACAAAGAACTCTCCCTCCAGATTAAATGTAAAAAGACAGATGGGAAAGAGGCCATGAAGAGTGGCACCTGGTCACAGTGCCCTTGTGAAAAGCCATGCACGGATCCTACTGTGAGGCACCCAGGGAACAAAGTGACACAGAGGAGTGCAGACATGAGCGGAGCCACGGACGGAGGGCATGAAACAATCAGAAGTATTTTTTTTTTCTCAGAATGCCTTCAGGGCAGATTTGGCTGACTTGAGTTGTGGGGATCGGACCACAGCAACCTGAGCCTGCTTTGTTGAACAGCCACTTAAAGAGCTGAGCTAAGGGGCAGGCCCCCTCAGGAGCATTTTTAAATGATAAGACTATAAAAATAAGTGTTGGGGCTGGGGATGTAGACCAGTGGCCAAAGCACCTGCCTGGCAAGCATAAGGTCCTGAGTTCAATCCCTGGTACCTCCCAATAAATAACAAGTGTTGACAGCACTCTGGGGGTGTTTTCTGCTTCAAATGTGCACCCACATTTTAAGTGTCAGTGGAGGGGGCTGTGTTGGTCACTGTGTCCACAGGAGCCCTCAGGGACACCTGAGCAGAACAGAAACACACAAAAGGGGTGGGGCCGCGGCACCTGGAGGCGGTTATTTCCACAATGCCAGCCCCTCTAATAGTCACTGCCACCAGCTACAGTGAGCCAGGTTACGAGGGTCACTGCTTTTTCTGGCCAAGCCAAATGCCTTCCCTTCTCCCCTCTGCTGATTCTGTCCAGGGAATCTATTCCCCCACTCTAGGAACAGGTGTCCACCCTCCCTGTGTGGAATCTCCCATTCCTGGGCCTCTCTGTCAACGCCAAGGGCCAGCACGTGGCCTAGAAACAGCACAGGAGCTGCCTGCTCCACCTTCTGAGCCTAGCTCCCACCTGGTCTGACGCCAGGGTGCCCCTAATCCCCCGCCCCGACAGTGTCCACAGCTGTGTCAGCGGAACAAGGTGTGTGCTGATTCTAAAGAAACTCGCAGGTAGGAGTCTTTGCCCCTAAGGAGCTGCTAGGGCATGGACTAAGGGCCAGAAGCGGGGACCAACAGGCTGCAGGTGGCAGGGACCAGGGCTCTCCGCCCAGCCTGCCAGGCCCAGGGCCAGGGCAGGGCAGCCCAGCACTCGAGGGGGCTGCTCCTCCACCCTCAGAGGAGCTGAGTGCCCCCCCCCCCCAGCACAGTCCTCCTCAGGAAGGCACTGCCGTACAGGTGTGTGTGCGCACTGGCACGGCCAACATCTGTCAGCTCACGGATTGATCCTTCGCAGTGAGAACACGTGAAAGCAAGGTCCACAGCAACTCCAAACACATTTCGCTATCAATCACGCCCAGTATGATGCACACAGATCCCTCCAGCTCTCCCCTGCTCACTGCAAGCTGTGTCCTCTCCCCTCATCTCTCCAGTGCACCCCCCACCCCAGCTTCTGGTAGGCACCATTTCAGGCTGACTGCATGCTCCGCACACCAGTGAACACTCAGCGTTTGCCTCTTACTTGGTTTATTTCATTTACCCTAACAGCCATCAGTTCTCCCAGGCCCTAACGTAAATCCCTTATCTTTAAAGGCTGAGTAGTTTTCCATTATGCATGCACATTTTCTTCAAATGCTAACGGCTTTACCTTGGGTGCATAAATTATCTATGCTGTTACTCGATCCTTCCCTGCACACCGGCCTCCTTGACCCTACAATGACACCATTTTATGCTGTCCACCCCTCTGCCATAGTCCTCTGGGCTACACAAGGAAGAAGGGGAGCCACGGAGCTACACACTGACGACATCGAGCTCCCTTGGCCTTAACTGTAGGCAGAGACCTTTCCAATACTTGCCTTAGCAAGGGGGGCAGCACGGCAGTCACAGTTCTGAGTCCAAACCGTACTCTGCCACTTCTGGTTTCTCAGCATCTCTTCTGTCCCCAGGACTGACTCCCGGGTAGCTGTGATGGGCACCACTGATCACTCAGTGCTGGGCCACAGCCTCGAGGTGTGAGCAGAAGTGCCCTGCGCCGGCAGACACTGCACAGAGAAAGCGAGCCTTTCCCAGCATTCCCCACGGCCTCATTAGCTTCTTCCGCCTCACAGCTGTATTCTATAAAGAAAGCCAGGCTTGGGAGGGTAGGCGGCTTGCGCAGGATGGCAGAATCAGGGTCTATTTTCTATCAAAAGTCACTCTGCCCCTATGTAGCTCACCCATCTGTTTCCCATGGGTGTGGTTAGCGCCTGGCCCTGGGTGCTGCACCTTCCGGTGGGGACTCATGAAATGTGCGGGTACCTGGGTGTGGTGCTTTCCAGGCTCCTGCCTCAGAGATGTGTGATGTCCTGGGGACAGAGTGGTCTGGGCTCTGCTCCTTGGCAGTCTGGCCCTGTCACAGGATCACTGAGGGGCGGGACACTGAACAGGGCCGGCCCTGGAGCTGCTCATCTGAGGACAGAGCAGCCAACCTGGAGGTAAGATCCTCACTTGGTGCTAACACAACCCAAAGGTAACAACAGGGCTCGAAGCATCTTTGTGACCTGACAGGCAGAGACCTGGGCGGCCAGCCAGCAGGCCTGCAGAGCTCAGACACAGCTGTTTATTGTCAGGAAGGACAAGGCTCTCCCCTGTGTGACCATACACACAGCATCGGGCTGACCCTGTGACACGGACACTGACAATGACACTGAGGCCCGGCCCACGCTGCCCCCCCAGTGGTGTCCCTCAGGTACCCACCCAGAACATATGGAGGGAGCCCTGGCCACCTGCTAGGCTTCCCTGGGAACAGAAAGAGTCCCCAGGGCAATGTCCTTCCTAAAGAGCTGGAGGCATGTGGTTCCAAGGAGAAAACCCAGCCTGTCCCATGGGCCGAAGACACTCAGGAAGAGGCAGGAGACTGCCCAGGGGGTCGCCACGGAGGAGGGGCATGGGACATGGGACACCTGCTCAGGGCAGGGGAGGCCTCCTCAGTCCTCTGTCACGGGAGGGGGGGTAAGCTGCAGCTGGAAGTTCTCATTCTGGAAGACGCTGGTGAAAGCAGGGCTACTCTGGGAGCTGCTGAATGGCCGGTAGCTGTCGCTGCTGCGGTTCTGGGAGAGTTCTGTGAGGAGTGCCAGCTGCAAAGGACACGCGTGTCAGGCAGGCTGTGGGAAGCAAGACCCGGGAACCTGCAGGGCGAGTGCCCCTTGCTATGTTCCTGGTTCTGACCACTCTCTTGCAACCTGGATGGCTCCAAATGGTACAATGCTGAGCCCCCTTCTGAACTCAGGCTCTTGCATCTCTGAGTGAGCCCACCACCGAGGGCCAGCTGTGCCCTCATCCTGTCAGTGCCGCTGTTCTGCAGGACCTGTCCCAGGAAGAGTGGGGTGCAGCCAGGCTCGGTCCTCAGTTGCTGTCCCTTCTGCTAAGGAGGCTTTGTATAGCTAGGCCTGGAGCCTAGCTGCATGTGGTAGTGCACACCTATAATCCCAGCACACTAGGAGGCTGAGGCAGGAGGATCACAAGCTCAAGTCCAGCCCGAGGAGACCTCTCTCAAAATAAAAGAAGGGCTGATAGAGCTTGGTAAGAAGGCCGTGGGTTTAATCCCAGCACAGGAGAAATAAAAGCTGGGCACCTGCCTGTCTGGCCCGATGGTGAGAAGAGATGCATTCCATCCAGGTGCCTAAGTGTCTACAGCTGCCTCTCCATCCATTAGCTGAGGGATCACCCCGACCCCCAGCTGGCCTGCAGAGGACTCGGGCCAGCATGCCCCATCCAACGCTCCCAGGAGCCTGTCAGCCTGGGGGCCCATCACACTCAGCCTGGGCAGCTCTGCCAGGTGTCCTCTCAGCACCTTGCACAAGGGCTGTTTCTAACCCTCCACACTCGCCCGCCAGACAGATCCTGGGGTCCTGAGCTGCAAAGTCACTACCCTAGGTCCCCTGCAGAGAGCTGCAGTGTGTGATTCAGACTCAGATCTGTGGGCAGTTCCCCCTTGGCTATGCCACCCACTGCTGGCCTTGTCTGCAGCTGTCTGTCACCTGTGCCCTGCCCACCAGCTGTTTCCTGCCCTCCGCAGTGGGCCTTCTGTCACACAGGCAATGACCCATTTGTCACTCCTGCTGCAAACAAAACCCATGGCTGTGGTAACTAGAACCATCTGAGGACCCCTAAGTGCCAATATGTAAAAGTACTGCAGTCCTAGGACCTGGCTCAGTGCCGCGGTGTTCTCTAAGATCCACACTCCGCACCTGGTGGTCACACAGCCATGGCTCCACGAAAGGCCTGCTGTACCACCCCCCTTCTCCCATAACCTCCCACTAGTGCCAGCTGGGGAAGCACTGTGTGTGTGTATAATGGGAGGGAGGGGGGGGAGAGAGAGAGAGAGAGAGAGAG